TAAAAACTGAAAACTACTATTAGAATACCAGGCATTTAAATCTATTGCCTAAGACTAATCACTAAACAGTCGGTTGAAATAAAACACTTATATTCCAAACAAAATATTTAATTCCCATTTTCAAAAACACAAAATCTCATTGATACTAATTCATTAGGTAACTGCGCTTAAAATAAACATATTCTAAAGTTACTGATAAATTTTACACACAGATAAATTTATATTAGGTAGACATTTCTTATCCAACCAGATATTAAATACATGAATATTCTTTATTTTTTTATAATAACTATCTTAAGACATACTGAATTATAAAAATATCGGTTTACAACTGAGAAAAGCTTTAGGTACTAGTCGAGTTACAGACGAACTCTACTAGTACCTAAATCATCATGAAAATTGAATAATGTGCGCGGACGCGGCGACATCGCGCAGTATACATAGGGCTTTTTTTAGGAGGGAAAATCATCGAATGACTTCTCCCGCCTATGTGAGGCGGGAGGGAGTGTCCGACTCTTACTGACTAAAAACCACCCCGTTCCTACTCTTGCACTTCGAGCCGGAGCCCCGGTAATCCATTAGGTTCTCCGCGATACAGAGGGCTTAACCCATCGTGTGTCTAATCGTGACACAATGTTTTTTCTATTGTGTCTCATATACAGGCATTGAAGCGGTTAAACTAAACCGCGTTCGCCGCTCTGATTGGCCGGCTCCCATGAACCAACTAATCACAGCGCCGAACGCGGTCTCGTTTCAATTATTAACTCTTTCAGTCACTCTTCTAACTGGTTACGAATATATTTTATTTATTTATATTGAAATGCTTAAACACTAAAGCGAAAATATCTAAGCATACTTCAAAAATTCAATTTCTTAAAAAAGGTGGTTAGCTACAGTGACCATTAAGACTGAAAGAGATTAATGTAAAACAAAATTGTAGCCCTCTGGTGGTTGCCGCGGAAGACTTAACGGGTAACCGGGGCTCCGGCTCGAAGGGCAGGAGTAGGAACGGGGTGGTTTTTAGTCAGTAAGAGTCTGACACTCCCTCCCGTCTCACCCAGGCGGGAGAAGTCATTCGATGATTCCCCCCCCCCCTCCCCCTAGAAAAAAGCCGTCTAGTGGTTTATTCTCGCGTTGCGTGCCCATCGCGACCTCTGCCGGAGACCACACGCGTTTCTTTCTAACTTCGGCGGTGCTACTAGAGTAGTTTTTCTCAGTATATTTACGTAAATAAACCGCTAATTTAGGTAATAAAATATGTTTTATTTGCTTTTACTGCATCATGCCTTTACGTAGGCAATAGACAGAAGTGCACATGACATATACGTACAATGAAACATTAATTTTACAGCAAATTTTTACCAGTTATGAGTCCCATGTAATACCTACAGTGAAACCTGGTTAAATGAGACATCAAGGGACCTGCAATGTCGTTTCACTTATAGAGGTATTCCACTTACCCAGTGTCTCAGATATACAGGTATAAATAAATATCTGTCTCATTTACAGAGGGTTCCATTAATAGAGGTGGAATTTCTGGGTAGAATAAAAATGAGTAAACAAACAATGTTATCTCAGTTATGCATATAAAATTTACTCGCTGTCTCGGTTATACAGGTAACTATGATGATAAATCGAAAGAACAAATCTCAGATATAGAGGTTTACCTCGTCCCACTAACACAGGTAATTCAGTGCCAAAGTGTTGGGACCTCAGCATGAGTTCCAGTTATGGAGGTTTCTCATTTATCCAGGTCCCACTTAACCAAGTTTCACTGTATATATATTTCTATCAATTTCACTGCATTCTGAAATGGATTTATGGCTCTCAAATAATTATATAGATTTTTTTAATAACGACTAATTAATCTCTTGTAGTTTTGTAGGAGGTAAAATATAAATAATATAAAATCAAATACATATATAAGTACTATGGCCATAGTATAACATTTTTTATTTTCTATAAATTTAGAAAAACATGGAATTTAATTCCCAATATACTTTATAGTTATTTTTTATCTTTTTCCCATATAGGTAACCACTTTTAAGTTGTAAATAATACAATAATACTTTGCACAATCCCGAATTGAATACTTGCCATAATCAAAAATAAATTATTTCGACTGTTCAATACAACTAAACATTAAAAAATAATCACACTTTCGTCAATTGATTTTATGACCAACTTAATTTTAGTATTTTTCCAGCATTTTTTTAAGAAATAAGTATGTTGTTTGACGTTAAAAAAACGTGACGTCACAATAGGGTAGTTACTTACATTTTATTTTAATGTCCGTCTGGTAGATTATTTTAAAACATTAGACACGTATTTTTTCTTTTCTCACAAAATTAAATGCTTTTGACGATATATTGATTTGAAATGTCGCGTGACGTCACAGCGTGCTACAAAATGTACCACGTTCTGACGTAATTACCTCCCACTCCTAAACTTAGCGCCATTTTATCTAAGTATTGTAAGTTAATACGAGAAAATGAAAAAATACGTGTCTAATATTTTTTCATTATCTGACTGACGGACTAATTAGATTTTTAATTTTCTTACCCTGGCAACTACCCTATTCACAATCCCGTACGAAATTCATAGAAAACTGTCGTTTTTGACAGTTTGAATTTGACTAGTTGGCAAGTACCCGATTCTAACCTAAAAGGCCACACTTGACCATTGCCAAATAATTACTACATTATATTTACACCTGAATACTCAAAGGCTGCCCAATTTTAAATAGTACTCAAATATCGTGCCATCTCTATCTTTGTACAAAGGATTTGTAGACAGAACTATAATTAACTCGTCGAGTACCGGTTTTGTAGACACAATTATAGAACAATAGGTTGCGGTCACCGGTGACCGCTTGGTGTTTGTCAGTTTAAACTGTCAAACACCGGTGACCGCAACCTATTATTCTTTCATTGTGTCTATAATGATGGTACTCAAGGAGTTAAGCGCGACTTAACATGACTGCACTGTTGGTGCGGTGGCTGGGCAATCGAAAGCCGCGCAACGTGTCGCGGTTTCAATTCCCACACGGAGCAACTCTTTGTGTGATCCACCAACTGTTGGTTCATGTGTATGTGAACTTGTATGTTTGTAAACGCACACACGACACAGGAGAGAACCGTAGTGTTTTTTTTAAGGCGGGAATATCATCGAATGACTGCTCCCGCCTGAGTGAGGCGGGAGGGAGTGTCAGACTATTACTGATTAAAAACCACCCCGTTCCTACTCCTGCACGTCGAGCCGGAGCCCCGGTTACCCGTTAGGTTCTCCGCGACTCCGAAAAACCGTAGTGTGGGGCAGATTCATTAAAAAAAAAAGGTTTAAAATCGAGTAGCAAGTGAATATTCAGGTGTTAGATTATTAAAATGCCAAAAAAAGGTACTGAAAAAGTGTATGGGGCTAAATGACCAAACTCATTTAAAACTTTTGAACATTTTATATTCAAACAACATCAATATTTTACAGCTGATCAAGGGCTTTTCAGCATATTTCAGACTTTTAGGCAGTCTATTTATAATACTATATATATTATAATGTGTTTTAAAATCTATCCGATGTAATAAACTGATTGAAAAGAGTACCTATGGAGTTTCTTGCTCGTTCTTCTCCATACAAATCTACACCTTGGAACGAGCAAATATCTTCACTAACCGACAGACTCAAAAATGCCTTGATAGGTCAAATGAAAACGAATTACATTGATTTTGACTTTCAAAACTATATCTTAAAGATCACAAACATTTTAAATGCGAGTTAGACTCACCCAACTTTATACATACATAAAAAAAAGAATTTAAAAATATTGCACTAAAAACAAACTTAACTTTGCCGTCCAATCGTTAGACATTAGTATTGCATGCACCGCAAATGATAATTTTGTTATAATAAATTCGGTTTTTTTTATTAAATCTAAGGCACTGTGTTACATTTTATAGTTCCTAACTTCATCATC